CTCGACTACGAACTCCGAGCCCCCTGTCCACAGGTCAGAAGTGGTTCGACTGCCTCTTGTGGACGCTCCACCATCACGTCCACCACCGTCATCCTCCTCATCCTCCTCCTTATCCTCCCCCTCCCTCCTCCTCCTCCTGCTCCTCCTCCTCCTCGTGCTCCTGCTCCTCCTCCTCCTCCTCCTCCTCCTCCTTATCCTCCCCCTCCCTGCCTCCCTCCCTTCTCCGTGCTCCTTCCTGCTCGCTGTCCTCCTCGTCTCCTCCCCCTCGTCTTCCCCCGGTCCTCCCTCCTGCTCCTCCCCGTCCCCCTGCGTGCTCCGCAGGCCCCTCTCTCTCTCTCTCTCTCTCTCTCTTTCTTTCTACAATTACTCAATATGAATACTACTCTCCCTCTTCCCCTGATGACGTCTTGGGAATATTCGCCCCTCCCCCCCCCCGCGTATTGTTCTTTTACACACAGGTTTCCCGGAGTTGGGTTTTCGCCTGCATTTGTTCTCCAAAATGCTGCTCTCGCTGAGGCGCCGGCATCATTTTCGGGCCCCGCTCGTTCCGAATCGTGCTCTCGCTGCAGCGTTGGCCTCATTTCTGTGCTTCCGCTCGTTCCGAATCGTGCTCCCGCTGCAGCGCTGGCCTCATTTCCGCGCTTCCGCTCGTTTCGACTCGTGCTCCCGCTGCAGCGCTGGCGTCATTTTCCGTGCCATGCCACGGCATGCAATGCAATGCTAGGTTGATACTATGCTTCGCGGTGCTCTTCTACGCCATGCCATGCCGTGCTCTACAATGCATCGCGTACCCTTTCGGGATCATCGCCCTGCTTGACATCCGACTGTGCGAGTAGAGAGGGGATCTGCGCCATGGTAAGGGATGGGAGGGAGGGGTAGGATGTCAGATATGACGCGAGCGCACCTAGCTTGCCCTTTCCCTCCCGCCCCCCTCCCCTCCCCTCCCCTCGCCTCCCCCTCTTCCCCTCCCCCTCCTGCCCTCTCCCTCTCCCTCCCTCTCCCCCTCCCTCCTCCTTCACTCTCCCCCTCCCTCCTGCCCTCCCCCACTCCCTCCTGCCCTCTCCCTCCCTCCTCCCTCCTGCCCTCTCCCCCTCCCTCTCCTGCCCCCTCCGCCTCCCTCCCTCCTCCCTCCCCAGACTTTTTCAATTTCAGTGGGCGCCAGCGAGCCGAAGCAGGTGCAGGCGCTGGTCGGGCAGCGGGCGGGACGCGCCGGGAGCGAATTGAGGCCGGCCGATCGCGGGAAGAGAGGAGGCGGGGTTGGGGGCAGGCGCCGCTCAGAGCGTGGATGTCAGGGTCTCTTAGATGAATAGTGCCAGAAGCATCGTTTAGAATTCTGGTGCATTTTTCCACTAGATTGCGCGGCCCGTGGACGCAGTCCTTGGAGTCCTTGGAGTCCTGGGGAGTCCTGAGGCGTCGTCTCACTCCGCCTCCTCGCCCTCCTGGCATTGCCCAAGACGCTAACTGACGCAAATTGACGCAAGTAGACGCCACGACGCACTAATCGATGCTTCTGGCGCTGTTCATCTAAGGTCTCTTCTCCCCCCCCCGCCCTGCCGCGCCTATTCGCAGGCGCCACGGGCGGCTCATCCCTGGCGGGCGCAGGCGGCGGCGGCGCTGGCCCTCGGGTCAGCCAGGGCCTCCTGTGGAAACGTCGCCGTGGTGGCCGTCGTGGTTGTGGTCCTGGTCGTGGTCGTAGCCGTGGTGGTGGTCGTGGTGGTGGTCGTGGTCGTGTCGGTGGTGGTATTCGTAATGGTTGCCTTGGTCGTGGTGGTGGTGTTCATCGTCGTGTTCCCCTCCCCGTCCTCCTCCCGCTCATCCCGCTCCTTCTTGCTCGCCTCTGTTATATGGTCGTCATCATCACGCTATTTTTCCCCTCCTCCTTGTCCTCCTCCTCCTCCTGCTCCCCTTCTTTCCCCTTCTTTTCCTGCTCCTTCCGCCTCCTCCTCCTCCTGCATGCTCCGCGCGCGCTCTTTGTGCACGCCCTCCCCCCCACAGCCCTGCTCGCGCGTGCGCACCCGTGCTCGCTGGAGCGGGCGGGAGGAGGAGAAGGAGGAGGAGGAGGAGGAGGAGGAGGAGGAGGAGGAGGAGGAGGCGGAGGCGGAGGCGGAGGCGGAGGCGGAGGAGGAGGAGGAGGAAGAGGAGGAGGAGGAGGAGGCGGAGGAGGAGGAGGAGGAGGAGGAGGAGGCGGAGGAGGAGGAGGAGGAGGAAGAGGAAGAGGAAGAGGAATAATACTAATAATAATAATAATACTAATAATACTAATAATAAGAAGAATAAGAATAATAATAAGAACAATAATAGTAACACGAATAATAATAATGATAACAATCAAAATACTATTAATCATAATAATACTAATAATGATAATGATAATAATAACACTAGTAATAATAATAATACGAATAATACTAATAATATTAATAACAATAATAACGATAACAATAATAATAGTAATAATAATAATATGAATCATACTAAGAAACATAAGACGAATACTACTACTACTACTACTACTACTAATAATAATAATAGTAATAGTAATAATAATAAGAATAAGAAGAAGAAGAAGAGGAGGAGGAGGAGGAGGAGGAGGAGGAGGAGAGGAGGAGGAGGAGGAGGAGGAGGAGGAGGAGGAGGAGGAGGAAGAGGAGGAGGAGGAGGAGGAGGAGGAGGAGCGGGGGGAGGATGTGCTTCTTCTCTTGCCCTTCCCTCTCATCATTCGGCGGAGAGCGAGGGTGGAAATGAGAGGGACGAGGCCTTCTCAGAAGGCGGCGGGACTTTCCAGAGGCCCTCCGGCCTTCTGAGAGTCTTTCTGTGTCTTCGGGGAATGCTCAGAAAGCTTCTCGGACGCCTGTGGAATTCTGAGCCTTCTGAGAAGGCGTTCTCCTTCTTACTTCGCCCCGGGGTCGCCGCCGACTCATGCCCTTCTCGGCCCACCGTCGCGACGGGTGGGTCTGATTCGAAGCCTGGTCAGAGCACACTTCGCACGCATTGGGTGGCAGCAGCCAGGCGGCTGCCTTCAGAGGCACTGCCACAAAGCGCACAAGGAGCCCCGGCCGACCCTCCGTGACTCGTGATGCTTGCAGCGGCAGCTACGTCCACTGGGATCTGCTCCCGCCCTTCCTCCTTTCCCTCCTGCATCCCCTTCCTCCTTCGGTAGAAAATCATGAGAGCCTTGTGTACCCTCATAATTCTGTTTTTGAAGTGCGCTAGCGTCGATGAGCGTCTGGTAATCGATAAGGTAGCGCGGATGGAGCGTCAATGAGCCTTGATTCGTGCCGATTCGCGTGGACTTAGCGTCGACTAGCGTCGATCAGCGTCGATTCGCAAGAGCCAGCAAGATGGTATGGGAGGCCTCCAAACCTTTGCGGACCACCACCGCTGCGGTGGTCGTTCCCAGGGTTGCCCTTGGTGGTGAGGCCATCGCCTGCGCCCTGCTGCGAGGTCGCGTGCTCGTTGTGCTGCTGTCGTAGCTCCTCCCTTCCTAACCAGCTCCCTCCCTCTTCTCCTCCTCCCTTTCTCTCGACCCTCCTCCACCCTCTTCTTCTCTCCTCTCCTCTCCTCTCCTCTCCTCTCCTCTCCCTCTCCTCTCCTCTCCTCTCCTCTCCTCTCCTCTCCTCTCCTCTCCTCTCCTCTCCTCTCCTCTCCTCTCTTCTTCTCTCTTCTTTTCTCCTCTTCTCTCCTCTTCTCTCCTCACCCCGCATCTCCTTTCCTCCCTTCGTTCTCTTGCTTCCAGCGCGTGTCTTCACACGGCATCCGCGCAGTCTTTGGCTTACACTGTTTTGCATCGTTCTGCACGCGTAATCTCCGCACGGCACGCGTATAACCCTCTTGTGCAATGTAGCGTAGTGCACAGGATGTCAGCATGTTTTCTGTCATTGCTCACGGGAATAAGGATGGTCAGCTTCACAGTTTTAACTCGGAATCCTCCGGCTCCACGGGGGGAGCTGGTCTGGAAGGTAGTTCGGGGCTGCCAGGTGCACGGATCCAGGAGACGTAGAGCGTGGGGAAGGGCTTCTCCGGAGCACGTTATTCAGGGTCGCCTGGCAGCCTTCATAGGCCCAAGTGGCTGTCATTGCTCACGACCCGGAATAAGGGTCAGTCCAGCGCTCCGACCATTCTTGCTTACGGCTGGTTCTCAACCTGCTTCGAGTTTACCCTCGTGCTACGGTGAACCTCGTACGCCCCGCCTCGTGCTACGGTGAACCTCGTACGCCCCGCAGAGAATCTCGTTTCTTTGTGTGGGATCTTTCCATATCTTGGTACCTATACCACTCACGCGTGTTTCACTTGCTTTACCCCTTCTGCACCTTCCAGACCCCAAAAACCCGACAGGTACCTCGGACAGGTCCGCACGCTCCGCCCGAAATCATGGCGGCGGCGGTGCTTCAACGGTGCGTTTGCATTTGCAATGACTCTAATGTCCGTGGCCTTCGTGCTCCCTTGATGGAGCCCCGTGGGCGCGAGACCGCCGCTGGGCAGTCAGCCCTTTTGTGCAACAGGGTCATTGCCTGTACTTCCGATGTGTTGTGCATGCGTAGGGTTCCACGAAGTGTGATGGCCGTGTTCTCCAGTTGCATTGATGTGTGTTTAGGTTGGCTTTTCCCTGACGAGGGCAGATGGCGTCGAACGAACAAGATTGTTGAGCCTCTTTGGGCAGCGTTTGTGTCATGCAGAACTCTGCTCTGGCTCGCGTCACGTAGAAGATCGCAACACGCCTGGAAAGCAGCTCTGTTGCTATCGCCCCGTCACCGCGCGGCACTCTGGAGGGAGGACTGCCCGAGACAATGGGGCGCTCAGGAGCTCCGGGCTGCAGTCGATGATCTGTTATCTTTGCAGTTGCTTGCGGTGCGCCTTCCCACCGTTGCTCATGTCGCCTACGGTTCCCCAGTCGACTCTTTGATGGGTCTGTATGCCTGGGTAGGCGACCCGGGTTACTACGTTGGCATCGCGCGTGCGTGCAGAAAAAAACAGCAGAACTCCACAGGGGTCGCGTGCAGGTGGCTTGAGCACATGACATTGTTGTTGCGCCGTCACGCCAGCGGTGCGGACAAGGTCCGGTACAAAATCATGCGCCGCTCTCACCCGCAGGACGTTCATTTTTTTGTGGCACGTGCTGGAGCTGCGGACCGGATCCGGTCGATGGAGCGGTGCGAGATCTTGAGCCGCAGGCCGAACGGGAATGGCACGGTAGGCCCAAATAGGAGGTCTGTCCCGTTAAGGGTCCCCTCCAGGCACCGGCCCCCCAAGACCAGCCGGGCTCCGTCCAACAAGGGCCCATTCGACCATGACATTTGTTGCAAACGAGTTCGGCATGGCCAGGTTTCGCATGTGTTTGCTCCTGCAGCGCCGCAGAGTTTTCACATACTGTATTGCGAGGCGGTCCGGCAGACCTTCACCATCTTTGGCACCAGGGGCCCAATTGACATTTACTCTCCGCGCCATTCTGCGCTGCTCCTGCAATGGAGCGGCAGCAAGAGTGGAACCATCGATTGGAAGCTATTGGAGAAGAAGTGGCACGTCGACAGTGGCCCCGTTGCCTTGGCCTCGCGCCTGCATGGGGTGACTGGCCAGGGGCGGAAAATGGTGGCCGCTCGACGCGTCAACTGGGAGCTCCGGGCCAGGGGTCTGCCGCCGTTGGAGGGCACAGTCGTCTACGCCCCTTGGCCGGCAGCTTTACCAGCCATGCGAAGCGCAATGTGCGTTGCCATCCGGTTGCGCGACATTGAGCGCCCCCCGTCTGAGCTAACATGGTTGCTTTCTCACGTCAGGATTGTCGCCCGTGCCCCGCCCAAGTTTCGGGCGCAATGGAACGCCCCTGCGGTCAGCAAGCGGCTGTGCGCCGATGATCTGTTGAACGTCGATTCCCGTTCCCTGGCGCATGCTGCCGACGGCATCGGCATGCGCCGGATCGATCGGGTATGGGACGTTACGGTAAGGTGTAGCCATGAGGACATGCTTGCATCTCTTCGCTCTCACGTTGCGCGTGCCTGCACCCGCTTGTGCCTTTCAGCTTCTGTGCACCAGCAGGCTCGTTCCGTCGCGTGCGACCGGTTGGCCACGAGCCGCTCCTTCCGCCTCGAGCAGAAGCGATGGCATCGATCGCAATCGTTGTATGACCAGTATACATCCGACATGCACGTGCGTCCGGACGAGGCCCTCGTTCCGGACGATAAGTTTAAAAAGTACATGTGGCTCTTGCCATGTATTGCTTACCAATGGTTAATCTTGTCGTTCGCAATATCCGCGCCCGCTTGGCGTCTTACATGTCTTGACTGGGCAAGTGCGAATGACTGGTGCTGGAGTGTACTTGATGAGCTCTTGACTCCGTCCGTCAAGGCCTTCGTGTGTTTCCACCGATATGCTCGTGTTGTTCCTTACATGTATGGCACCGTCAAGTCAAAGTGCTTCCGCGGCGGCGTCCGCGTATGCACCCGCGCGGGCCACTCGTGCTTGCGGAAAGTCGTGTCTTTCGCCGCATGGCCCATGCGGCGCCGGTGGCGATACATCCACCGCGCGCTGGAAACGGTGATGCGGGAATACGGTGGCGGCGACGAAGTGTGGTCACTGCGGGAGGCTACCCAAGTCATGAATGCACGTATCCAGGCCGCCCGCCCCACGTCAGTGCACCGGACTTGTGCCCGTTGCCAGAGGGCCAAGGTGGCGTCCACGGCCGTTGTTGCAGATGCGGGCCAATTTTTCGAAGCCGTCCGACCGCGCGATGCCATCTGCGCCGCGCGCACCGTCCTCTTGCGCTGCCAGCGTGCCACAGGTAAGGAGGCCGTCACGGTCCTCAAGAACCAGAGGCGCGTGGCATTCTTCGGCGGCGCTGGCGGCGTGCACGACGGTAAAAAGGTGTGCTTCAGTTTTACTGACTTGTTGCTTGCTTTCTCGGCGTGCATGTTTGTGACTTTCTGCTCTCTAGGCGACAAGGTTTTCCATCTTTCCGGGCTTCCGATCGGGGGCGTCCTTTCGAAGGTTGCCGCCAGTTTCGTGCTGGGCCTGGAGGAGAACCGTTGGTCGTTGGACGTGGCGCGGCGGAGGTCCTTGGGTTTCGCTGCCACCAACCCCGCGTGGGACAGAGAAGTGGCCAGGGGCAGGTACGTAGACGACCTCCTCTGGGTGAGCTCTGTTTACTGCTGGGCGTGCATGTGCGAGGCTGTTCATGAAATGTATTCGGTGCCGTTCGAAATTGCTCGACAAAGTCACGTTGCTGATTGGCTTGACGTTCAGCTAGACCTCGCGAGCCACGCGTGGCGCATGGCCCCCAAAGAGGTTGTGCTGCCGCCCCCGTGGGCCGCGTCCCGGGGCTACGCGCGCGGCCTGGTCCTGGGCCGGTTGCACCGTTGGTCCGAAGTCGGCCTGGTAGAAGCTGCGTGGGTGGAAGCAGCTGCGCACCTCATGCTGCGCTTCCGCTCGGCAGGCTGGCCGATGCGTGTCCTGAGGGCCGTTTGCCACCAATGCTCCCATGCTTTGTCGCGCCATCAGCGTTCATTGTTG